AATTTTGCTTAGAATATGTGACATCACAGGGGACCTATGTATATGATGAAGTTATTCTTTGGAACATAGAGGCAGTTTATGTTTGTTTTTCAACATAGATTTCCTTTCATTATCCGTTTTATCGATGCTCTAGAATTATGAATCCTAGATAGGGTGTGCATTATACACAGATTGGATGCTGCAGGTTACATAAAATGAATAGTTGTTGGTTATAAACATTTAAATATTTCTCTGACTTTGTGTTTGGTTTCCTTTCCAGTTCTTCTGCAGAGCCATGGTAATAAATATTTCCCTCTTATGCTGAGCTGCCTTGTGGGACAGTCAGAGGCATCATGGCGGAGCTGCCTATAGCCCCGGGCCAGATCTACATCGAGGTGGATTACGACTATGAGTACAAGTCCAAGGACCGCCTCATTACCATTCGCGAAGGGGAGCGTTACATGCTGGTCAAGAAAACGAATGAGGACTGGTGGCAGGTGAGGAAAGATGAATCCACAAAGCCATTCTATGTACCTGCTCAGTATGTGCGGGAGGTTCGCAAAGCCCTCATGCCGCCACCCAAACCCATCTCGCATTCCCTCGCTGCGTCTGGAAACTCGAATCCGCAAAGTGGCGCCGCACTCTGGGTGAAACCAACCAGTCTGGACCTGAGCCCCAACAATCGGCCCTCAGAGTCCCTCCAAAGAAACGAGTCCAAAACCCGGCGCTCTCCTTCAGCACAGACTGCCTCTTCTGCTCACTTCAGTCCACCGATACACCGCAGGGACACTAACCACCATCACACTCCCGGTACGCCCACGGAGCACGAGCGAGCTCTGGCTGAAATCCTTGTTCAGGGCGGCGCTCTACAGCCTCCCCAGAAAGGGCGCTCCAGCACCCTTCCGCGCAACCGACCGCGATCGCCTGACATGGTGAGGGCTCCTTTAGACCTGGACGTATCCCAGCACTGCGACTCTGCAGGAGAGGAAAGACGCACCAATGATTCGGAGTCAGGAGATGAACTGAGCAGCTCTTCTACTGAACATCTCCAGGTAAGCGTCACCGTCTACTTCCTCTGCTTCTGAGCCTCTAGCAGGGAAAACTTTTATGTGTCGGTTTTGAGTCAAAAAAAAAAAAGATATCGTTACATCCATGGTAACGCCAAGATGAAGATTTTCCACAAGAACATTTAGGTTTTCAAAATCAAGCAGCGAAACTCGCTTTATCTGTCAGGTGTCTCAATGTTAAGGTATGTTTTCAGTTACTTTCAGAGGAAAAACCCAAATTACTTAATCACCATAAGTCTGTATGCCGACTCAGACCTTCAGGATGTTAGAGACATTTCTCCACTTCCTGCAGAGCAATTAGAAGGAGAAGCACCTGTTAAACTAAACTACTTGTTATTGTCTGCCATGATCTGATCTGATCCCAGATATCAGATCAGTATCGTAATTAAGGTGTTAAAACATTAACAAATCATTAATTCAAGTCACAGCCACAAACTTGTAGTCCATAAACGAGGTTGAAATAAATGACTTGCAGTTATTGCCTTATTTTAGCTGTCCAAGCTTTGTGTCTCTCTGCAGCTCCTCTTTGGTTAGCATGGGCATCCTGGCTGATTCCCTGATTAATGCTGTCTCTGTCTGCTCACTGCAGGGGAACCTATCTGTCTGTGTAACTTTCCAGTTTTAACACGCACTGTAATTTCACACTGTGAATTGAACTGAGCGCTGGGAGCTCCCCAAAGCTTGGTGAATTGTTTTTATAACCAAACCCTGCTTCAATATCCTCCTTTTCATCCTCGACATGTCTGCTGTCACCTATTTCTTTCTAATAGTGTTGTGTCTGGCGATATGGCAATATGGCAATAATAATAATTGTCTGGATGCCAAAAAAAAGACTACCCAACGGCTTTTACTTTCACAAGTGGAGCAGTACGGCTATCACTATAGTGTTCCGCTTGATTTATGCATATAAATAACTTTATTATAATTCATTCAGGGAGTATTACGGATTATATGGACTAGGGGTGTAAGTAATCATCGATCCAACAGCTGACGATCCGATGCATCTATACGTCCGTAAGAGTATCGATTTATGTTTTTTTTTTTCCTCCGGTCTATTTTTATCCATTTGCGCCTGGACGTAATTCTCCTTCCCGTGCTGCGGAGGCGCTAAATCTATTTTGCCCTCCTACCTCGCTTCCTGGTTATACTCTTATAGCAGTTTGTTGCAGTGAGCTTGACACAGACATTTGTGATTTATGCTCAATATTGAAGCGTGGTCTGTGCTACACACTGTGGGTCTAGATACGGCCGAGGCGGCGAGGAAGTGGGGGCGAGTTTAGTCCAATGACGGAGGGACATGAGGGCCAAAAATAGCGGAGATCCAGGTGGAAAAAGGCTCCCAGCGTTCTCGCGCACCTCACTCTTATAGCGGGTCAAACTTCACGAATTGTTTTCCGCAATTTCGGTAATAAAAACAAAACAAGCCGGCCTCCTGTCTGCGGCACTGTCTGCGGTCAGCTACAATTTGGGAGAGTGGCAGCGGAGCATCTGTGGAGGGGGCGGGAATGTCTGGAGCCGAGGTGTTGCATTGCACTCATTGCACTGATCTTGTGCAGTATTTTTCTGATGCAAAGCCTTGCAGAATCTATAACGCAGGGGTATTATTATTTTCCAGTGAATGAGGTTTAAATAGGAATAGATGGAGTGCAACATTTCTACTTCTGTTATTTCCTGTAGTTTCTCAAAAAAAAAATGCATAACGATATTACAGCTTTCATTGATTTATTTCAAATTTAAAACATTGTCTAGCCTGTAAGGTGTAAAAAAAATATTGAACCAATTAATCGAATCGAATCGTGGTGTATTCTTGAGTATCGAAAATAATCAAATTGTTGGGTCAGGAAATCGACACTGAATCGAATCGCCATGATGGGGGTGATTTACACCCCTACTCCCTACTCTAGACAAGGTTGAAGGGAAAGTCATGACAGATAAGAATGGGTTCACACAGCATCCTTCATGCCGTGAACGGGAGGCCTGTTCTGACTGTTTACCTGGCTAAAATGTATGTCCTTGATTAATTTTCTGGGGAATAACCAAATGTTTGTGTGTAAGAAAGTTCTTTATGTAGGGGTGGGATAGTTCCTAAGGAAAGAGTGTGTGTGTATTGGGAGTAGCTGTATAAATATATGTACTGAGCTTTGCACAGTCAGACCTCTATCGCTCCGTTTTAGGACATTAAATCAATTTAAACATTCTCTTCCAAGAGTCTCAGCTTGCCACAGTGTTTACTGAAGTTTTTATAATTTCTACAGGCAGATTTAACACAATAGTTGATTCAAACCCTGAAATTATGGCTTTTAGTTTCAGTGTGCCACCTAAAGATTTTTAGTGGCCCCATCTGGCCACCCCTAAGAAACATTTGTGGAAGCCCTATTGCTGATCGTTATAAACTTTTTCCTAACGTAGCTAATAGAAACATGATGTTTATAATTAGAATATTACATCAGACCAGAAAAAGCGAACATTTTAATACAGAAATGTGGAGCTTATTGCAACCCATGTTAGAACTTCCAATTTTCTAAAGGTGCTTTTAATTTCTTAAAAAGGCTCACTGGAAATCATATTTGAAGTTACTGAGGTATGTTAAAGTAATAAAACGATGCATAAAGTTTCCCATGCCAATCTAAAAATAGTGCTGTTATGTAAGGCTGTTTTTATACCATTTCATTTGAAAACAATGAACCAACACTGCTTTGTTTCTACTAATAATATCCAACTCCTTTGTTTTTGACCTTTTCTGCTTAATACAAGATTCAGCGTCATGTTTTCCCATCTGACGTCACCACACTTTTTTTTTTTTTTCCTAAAAGGTTATCAGAAACTAAACATCAGCAGCTTTAGGCCATAAAGCGGCCCAGTCCACAATGAAGCTCCTTCCTTCCTCAATCTTTCCCTGTCCTGCCTCGATAACACAGCAAAGGTCAATCTCAGTCACACTCATGTCTGCAACTCTCAACATATATATATATATCTCTAAACATATATAATTGGCGCTGCTATGTTAAATACCTCTTTATGTTACTTTTTGCCTGTTGGTCGGCATTAAATTACTTTGAGAGATTAAATTGTCCTGTTTAGCAATCAGGATTCAATCTGACCGTTAGACAGCACATCTGCTCCAGCTTGCTGCACTTTGTATGTTTTATGGCCCATGGCATTGAGTGGGATTCCGCGCACTTAGAAAATCAAAGTTACTGTGAACATCCATACTCTGCTTATCAGATGGTGATGAAGAGCTGCAGATATTGCTGTGAAAACTAAAAGTCTTCAGACCAAACCCCCTAAAAAATAATGAGGCTCGGCTCTGTTTTATAGAGCGGCTGAAGAGGCAGCTGTTTGAAAGTTTCAAAACTACAATTTTAGTCAGTTGTTCAACACTTTGGACAATGGTTTGTTTTGTTTTTACCGTTATTTTGGTTATTTTAAAGTTCAAATGAATGGTTACACCTTAAAGTAATAGGGAAATCATATTTAAATTCCAAATCATTTGGGCTTAGGCATGTATATGAATGTAATCTTTATCAGATGATATTGTCCCAAAATTGAGAAAATTTCTGTCTTAATGCGGTCTTAAAATCTTTGTTGTTTTTTTCCGTTATCTTATGCAGGCCAGTTAGTTACACGTCAGCTTGTACACCTAAATTCGGCCAATCATATATCAACGGTCATCTGACATCAAATTCTTTTGGTCATAGCATCTTGCTTCATATGTCTCAGCTAATATACGCAAAGGTTGAAATAAGAAATAAAAATGATTTACTTTCCCATGGAGTTCCGTCCCAGTGTTCATGGGGATGGACGTCTGTGTCTTCAGCAGGCGTAGAGCTAACAGAACTGGCAGCGTTGTGAGGCAAGGGCTCAAACATGTACGGCTGGAAGCCTTCTACTAAAAACCAAGCTTCTGCCGCCCTGGCGTCCTCTTCCACAACATCTTCTTCCCCGCTTTCCTCCTCTAAATAAAAAATGAATGACGGAGGAGACTCCTCCACAACCTCTGACACAAAACTCTCCTCCTCTTGCATGTTTCCTCTGTCCAAAGCGTTCCTTGACAGTGTCGTTTCTAAGTCACCAAGTGCTACTTAAAGCTAGTAGGTTCCCAATGGGACCAAGTTGCTAACTGGTTAGCAAGATGCTTCCGACAAACCGGCCAAAATCAAACTTGCTTGCGAACCTTCCGCCACAACAACCCCGCCCTCTTGATAAACGACCAATCACATTTACTTTATTCACTGGTGTAAAGTCGTGCACCACTCAGGAGAATTCAGAAATGCAACGGTTGGAACAGCCGCTTCCCTACGACTTTAAGGTGTTGTTGGCATTTTATGTTAAATCTTTGTGTGGTCAGTGCAGTAAGCATACCTCTGTAGAACATTATTTCTGAGATTTCTTATAGACATTAATTCCAAATCCAGCTTTTTCCATGATAGACGGAGTGTTAAAGCTTTGAAGGATGAAACGAAACTCCTCAGCAGTGCTTCCTTCAGCCTTCCTGTTATGTTGATCTCTCACAGGAAGTGCGCCCTCTTTGAAATTCTGTCTTATTTCTTTGAGCTCACCTCATTGATACTGAAAGTACTTCACTTGGGTTCTTCTCCCTGCAGCAACAACTTCCAACCCAAAGGGCTGATGTGGATCATGCATGATGCATTCACAGGTTCAAAAAAAGATTGAATTTGGGAGCTTCTGACCAGCTGATCCTTCTAAAAAGAAGCTGATTTTCTATATTTTTTTTTTTTGTAATGCCCCTTATGTGCAGCCTTTCCCTTAACTTAATGACTCCTGGTTCCCTTTTACTCTGTCAGGTCCTTTAGAATTACCTTTGCAGTCCTGCTCTGTTTTCCATTTAACAGTCCAACAAGTCATTAACATTGATCATTTGCCATAGTGGTAAAATCTAAAGAAGCAATCTCTGCCTCATTAGCCAGGAACAGAACATGTCTTTGCTATTTTTGATGAAAGATGTTTCCCTTCCAAACTTTTTT